TTCTTAACAATAAAATAAATAAAATCAGGGTTTAAATGGCAAGACAGAGTGGATACACTGAGCTGAAAAATACATGGTCCCTAACTCAAGAATCTCTTAAACTTAAGTAAATTGAGAACACTTCTCTGGAGATGTCTTGACAAAGAACACAAGAGAACATTAGCAGATTGGGGTGTGTTGTGAGATTAAAAACATATGAAAGAAATGACATCATAAAGATGATGGAGTAGAAAGTTCAAGGAATTTGCCCCTCTACTGAAGTCCTATATTCTCTACTGAAGCGGCTGTTGAGCTGGCAAGCACTGTCCAAAGCAACCATTTTAGAACTCTGGATCCTAGTCAAACACTTGTAGCATCCAGGGTAAGTAAATGATGAAGAAAGAGGCTGGTCACTGGCTGACAATGGAGATGATGGAACAGAGACTTCAGTGGACACACATCAGAAGGAATATATTTCTTGTCAAAAAAGTTCAGAAAAGTCACTAAGCAAACTGATGACTGTAACCTTCATCAAGTAACAGTAGTGATCCTTGGGGAGGAGGCACAATCTGACTTTCAGTTACCTAATTACAGGATTCAAAATGTCCAGTTCCCAACAAAAAATTACAAAGCCTACAAAGAAGCTGGAAAGTTTAGCCCATTCACAAGAAAAAGAGAAATCCATAGAAACCGTGCCTCAAATAGCTCATGCATTGGACTTAACTAGACAAAGACTTTAAATGAACTGTCTTATATATGCTCAAAGGTCTGAGAGAAATCATTGACAAAGAACTAAAGAAATCAGGAAAACAATGTATGAACTTATTAACTATTAGATATATAAAGTTATGTTTTTCTCAGCTGGGGTTAGCTCAAGAAATTTCTTTGTAGGATATGTTTATACTCCTTAAGTGGTTCTTCAATTCTATTCAGGTCTAGATTTTTAAAAGAGATTTGGATTCTGGCATTTGTAAAGTAGACTTTCCTGTTGGGGTATAGCTGTCAAAGGCATCATAGATAGTATTGCTAATGAATATAGAATACTCAAGTAATAGTTTTTTAAAAAAAGCTACTGGGGGGTATCATTTTGTTAGCTTCAATACTTTACAATTTTGGAGAGGTGCTGTATGAATTACATTTCTCTTCTAGTATGGAGAAGTATCAAAAAATTTCCATTTTTTACCATGGAAAAGTTTCATTAGGTAGTTTTCTCCTCACTGTCTATATTATTTTCAAAGGCCATACTCTAACATACCATAAAATTTCTTTTTTGTGCATTGCTTTTGCAGTGTTACTTGTGAGGTCAGAGAATACTCAAGGCACAACCCCACATATCATACAGATTCTTCCTTGCCTCTTGTAAAAAATCAGCAAGAGACTGTTGTATTAGAATGACATTTTTACATAAGTATGAGATGTAATTTTTAGTTAAGACTGTAAATAGTTAAAAGTTTATGCATTGCCTTATGTGTGGG